TACAACCACTGCCAGGGAAGTCCTACTCATTGCCTACTTGTCGCGGGGGTGTTGTTTACAAAATTAAGAGGACAATATGCGAATGTCCGACGCCTAAACCGGGTTGATAGATATGGAGAGTCCACCTAGACGAGTTGGAAGACCCTCATTCCAAACCAACAATGCATATGGGCTCCAAGATCCTGATGTAACAAATGACGTATGAATCAATCGTTGGTCACTGGCTACCATGAGACTGCATCTCGTGACGTTACTCCACTGTTATGTGGTTTAGACCTTTAGGCCGAAGGCTTCGAGTGTGTCACCCTAAGAAAACTACCTGCTTCGATTTGAGCACCCGGCCAGTATTACAGCACTTACATAAATCGAATGATTTATGTGGCGCATATCTAGTTCTTGCCTCCTCTGGAGAGAATCAGCTCTCGCTATCGAAATGTCCTAACATGCGAACAACCAATGCAAGGGAAGTCTTACTCACTGCCTTTTCGCGGCATTACTGTTACTCATGAAATTGAGAGGATAGTGCTTTGACCGGGTTGGTGGACACGGAGAGTCCACCTAGATTTGAAAAACCTTCATTCCAAACCAATCGTTCACACGGGCTTCACAATCCTAAGGTAACAAATGGCGTGTGAATCGATTGTTGATCAACGGCTATTATGGAACTGCATGTTGTAAGGTTGCTCCATCACCTTGTGGATTAGACCTTTAGGTTGAAGGCTCGGGGTGTGGCCCCTTAAGAAAACCACCTGCTTCGGTCTGGGTACTTGAGCAGTATCACATCCCACACACAAATCAAGTGACTTGAGTTGCGCATATGTATTCGGTACCTCTTTGTACCAATATTTATGTGTTCTATGTAACTTTTCATAATAATTTGTGACCCTGTTAATATATCACGCGATATGATCAACAATTAGAGTCACCGAGTTATTCATCGGACCAATGATGCATATACCAATACGAGAAGCCTCGTCTAACTCAGCCGATTCAGTCTAAAATGTAAATGTCAACATCCATTCATATTGAATCATATATTTCAAACATATTTGGTTTATATACAAGCAACATCAGACTGCAACTAATTAGATTGAGAATAGTAAATCGTATAACATTAAATAGAAATCAACATTTGATAAATGTATATTGCCAGCAACCACAATATCTCTGACTGCACTCTTTCCTAACTTGTTTTTCCGATCACTGCTTATACTCTTACTCCATCTACCACTAAGGGATTTGAATTGACAACTGTATCTCTGCGATAATGTGGTGCGGCAACTCGAACTCGGCCGTACCAGGACATTCGGGGGTAATTAAAAGAACTCATAAATCTGAATAATACATACACAAAATACTGTAGAACAGTTGATAAGATTAAAGTAAGTAAATAACCTGCTATTGGATAAAATAGATAATGAGTTCAAGTCTCAATATATTAACACAAATTTAGCTTTATATAAGTTGAATATTATAACATGAATTGTTACCTAGCAACTAATAGAAAGTATAAAACCATACAAAATTATAAACATATAGATGCATATAAAAATAGGGTTAAGAAAGAGGAAATGTATAAATTAGATATAGAAACAAATCAATTTATACTTTAGTGGTTGAATTAAAGTAAAATAACCAATGGGAACCTGAAAGTATTAGATAGCTATTTCATCCTAGTATGAGACTCTTCAACACTGTTCATCCACAATACCACTTGCGGGATTTGAACCTAGAACCTTCATTTTCATGCACCACTACTAAGCTAGCATTCAACGGTGTTAATGTCTAAGCAAAGATAGTTGGTGGTTAGTAGTGGACAATAGAAGATCTAGGATGAGGTTGAACAGAAAATTGAGAAAGTGAATAACCTTGATAGACAAAACTTGAGGTTGCGACATTAGGTGACAGTTCTCCATAAGCTCTCACTTGACTAGTAAAGTTCTGAGGAACGCCTTTCCATGACAAACATTGCGACAGAACCTCTCGGATATCGAGTGAAATGCTGACGAATCTCAGGTAAGACGAAACGTGCACTTTGGATTCCACTACCAGATACTAACTATCTTTGTTTATAAACACTATTTATTCAACAAAAACAAGAGAAAAAAAATTGACATCACTTCATTCAAACGTTATAGTTAGTTATATAATATACCCTTGTGAGCCAGGGTCATTTTACATTGGTTTTCAGGATAACCAGACACCATCCAGACTTTCACGTGACAACCCAAACAGTACAGCCCAATCTTATTTACCAGGAGAGCCAGACACCACCCAGGCTTAAATTTTATAAACCGAGCAGTACAGCTCAATCCCGCTTCACACGAGAACCAGACACCGTATAGGCTTTAACGCTACAATCTGAATAGTATAGCTCAATCCTGTGGCGCAACCACACAGGTATCAAGCACGCTGATGAACTATTCGCACCATTCATATACACATTCACGTCACATGTATAGTTATTCCAATCAATAATCGCGTGAATCTATTATGCACAAAACGAACAGGTCAAAGTTGACCTATTCCGCCTTTATATGACAGTCAAACTCATTACTGTTAGCAATGGCGACATACTTTACAATGCCCCTTGAGAACACTAAAAAGTAATCAACAGTATGAATGAAATCGGTTAACGAACAAACCAATTTTATGCATAAACAGTCAGAAAAACTTTCCAAAGCAATACCGAACCATCCATAATACCAATGGCGAACCATCATCTTCATATAAGACCTTCAGTTCTACATAGTCACATAGTTTATACTGCATACAACACATATGTAAGGGTAGTTAGCGAAATAGCCCAGCCTAAAGCGTACGGGCTTAAATTACGCTTAAAACTCATTGTCTAGTGTCAGAATACTATAACTAAACCACTAAGATCATTTTTATCACATTTGAGAAATTTTCACTTTTCCAATTTTTCAGACCTTGAGTTGAGTTAGTGGTAGTATCCATGATATACATATGCTAACTGACTCTGTAGACGCACAACTTCGCGACCAAAAGGCAGGATTCCGTAAGGATAGATCGTGTACAGAGCGAATAGCAACTCTACGTATCATCACTCTATATCAACTTCATTGACTACGAGAAAACATTTGATAGCGTGGACAGAACAACCCTATGGAAGCTTCTTCGACACTACGGTGTGCCTAAGAAGATAGTCAATATCATACGGAATTCCTACGATAGATTAAACTGCAAAATCGTTCATGTAGGACAGTTGACAAATTCGTTCGAAGTAAAGACCGGTGTCATGCAAGGTTGCTTACTCTCACCCTTTCTCTTTCTCCTAGTGATCCACTGGATCATGAACATGTCAACATCTGAAGCGAAGCACGGAATACAGTGGACAGCTAGGATGCAGTTGGATGATCTAGACTTCGAAGATGATCTGGCTCTTCTATCGCAAACACAACAACAAATGCAGGAGAAAACAACCACTGTAGCAGCAGCCTCAGCAGCAATAGGTCTCAATATACACAGAGGGAAAAGCAAGATTCTCCAACACAACACAGCATGCACCAATTCAATCACAATTGAAGGAGAAGATTTGGAAGATGTACAAACCTTTACATATTTGGGCAGCATCATCGATGAACACGGTGGATCTGATGCAGATGTGAAGGCACGGATCGGAAAAGCAAGAGCAGCATATTTACAACTGAAGAACATCTGCAACTCAAAACAACTCTCTGTCAACCAACATCAAAGTCAGAATTTTCAATACAAATGTCAAGACAGTTCTACTGTATGGAGCCGAAACCTGGAAAACTACGAAAGCCATCATTCACAAGATACAACTGTTTATTAACAGTTGTCTACGCAAAATACTTGGAATCCGTTGGCCAGACACTATTAGCAACAACCTACTGTGAGAGAGAACAAATCAGATCCCAGTGGAGGAAGAAATCAGGAAGAAACACTTGGAAGTGGATAAGACACACATTGAGGAAAGCACCCAGATGCGTCACAAGACAAGCCCTCACATGGAATGCTCAAGGCCGAAGGAGGAGAGGAAGACCAAAGAACACATTACGCCGAGAAATGGAGATAGAAATGAGAAAAATGAACAAGAATTGGATGGAACTAGAAAAGAATGCCCAGGACAGAGTGGGTTGGAGAATGCTGGTCGGCGGCCTATGCTCCATTGGGAGTAACAGGCGTAAGTAAGTAAGTAAGTAAGTAAGTAAGTAACTGATATAATAATTAACAATACTTAAAGAATGAAATAGGTTAGAATCAAACCAATTTTATGCATGAACAGTTAGTAAAACTTGCTAAAACAATACTGTACCATCCTACATTATGTAATGGTGAATCTTCAGTTTCATATGAAAACCATGAACTCACCATAGTAATCATATTTCAACACGACAAAAATAGATTTTAAGCGTTCTTTAAGCCTTAACACTTTAAGTTAGGCTATTTTATTTACTATCCAACATATATATATATATATATATATATATATATATATATATATATATATATATATATATATATATATATATATATATATATATATTGTATGTAATATAAGCTATATGCCATTCGAAACATAGATAAATATCATATAATAAAACAATTGAATTACAACATTGTGTCTATGTGTTGTTGTTGTTGTTGTTTGTATGTTTGTTTTCTGTTTTTTGTTTTATTATAGAAGTACAATATTGTACAGATTCATTAAATAATTTTAAAGATAAAAATAAAATAACAAAAAGAAAAAAAACACACAAAAAAAGAGAGAAACTTCTAGTTAGAACCAATTGAAAATAGGAGAGTGAGAGAGAGAGAGCTAGGGAGGGGGTCTCTTGTCTTGTGAAAAAACAAAAAAAAATTATTTTTTTTTAAAAAAAAAACAATAAATAATAAACATTACAAATGATATGTGTTCTTGTTTGTTTGTTTTGTTTCTATGCTTTAATAATAAACAAATAAACAACAACAGTTTAAACATATACAATAGTAATAATAATAATAATAATAATAATAATAATAATGAATAATATGGTTTACCCCTTTTTTATTCCTTTTATAGAATGTATTGTTATAATGTAATAATGATAAGTGAGATCATGAAAAGACTGGTGGACTTTGACGAGCTTTTCTATATAAAAATATAAAAAACAAACAAACAAACAAACAATAAATGTTATATCAAATCAAAATATAGTATCAGAGCTTGAAGACTTACCGCTCTTCAACCAAACCTGTCTAGCATGGTAACATCTTAAGGAACGATTGTTTCAGCCAGTATAGCTCAGTTGCTTCATGATGATAGGGAAGCCCAACCATCACGTCAAGGTAGTAACAATGACTTGTGTTGAAAGATAGTTATTGGTGGTCAAACCAAAATGTGGCATCAGTCTTTGAAGTCACTACCTTCTAATCTGAGCTATGTTGGTAGATGCAGACTACTTAGTTGGGGTTCGTGTGATTATCGTAATCAATGGTTGGAGATTCTGGGTGACATGGGTCAGGTGTATACACTTTGTCTTCTTTTAAATTATGAGATTTAAATCGCTTCATTGCTTTCTTTCTACGTACTAAATCTTTCTTTTACAATATTATACCATTCAGTTAACTGCTTCTATGAATCCGGTGTTCATCTTGTTGTGCTATTGAGGTATGGCAACTTGAACTGATGCATATATGTGCCTAGTCCTACGTTGTAGATGACTGACTGATTGATATCAATAGTTAAGATCATGAATCAATTGGAGCTAGACCACTATGAAAACCTGGAAGCACTGAGCGGCCGTTTCGTCATATTGCGGGACTCATCAACAGTGCACATCTACGACTCTGCCTCACGGGATTCATGCATTTATAAGTCAATTTAAACCTAGATCACTGTGAAAAATCTGGAAGCACTAGATGGCTGTTTCATACTAATAATATGGGACACTTCAATAGTGCACATTCACGATCCCACTTTGCGAAGTATGAACCTAGGACCTATCGGTCGTGCATGTGAACGCTTAACCTCTAGACCATTCAGATGATCAGTATCCAACGATATTCATGTCTAAATTCAACCAATTCACGAAATAAATGAACAAAAAATTTTTTAAATGATGAATTAACTTTTAATGATTATGTTATATCCCGATGAGAATAATGAATGGTACTGTTGGGATCTATTTATAGACCATTACTCCACATGTATTCTTATTGTATAATTGTTAAGTAATTAATATATTCATATTCATGTCCCTCTTATTATGAGCTTTATCCCGGCCTGTGAACTATTATTATATGATTTCCCATTCTTGAATTATGCCCTGTCTATTAAGTACTATCTCCCACATTCACAGTCACTTTGGGCTGAATCTTGTACAAATGTTGTTTCCTATTTTACTGGTACGAATTGGTCTGTCTAGTTGGTAATAAAAACCTAGTATGTTTGAAATAAATGATTCATATCGGAGAGGCTGAGATTGATGTTCTGGATTTAACTGGTTGGGTTAGGCAAGAAGCAGGATCGATAAGTACTCTAGACTGCTTGTACGGGTTTTATGCGTCATTAGTCCGATTGATAATTCACTGTGTCTCTAATTGGCGGTATTATTAGGTTATACATTAAAAGAACAGAGGACACAAGTAATAACAGATTAATCAAGTGTAATTCAATTGAATATGCTTGTTAAATTATTACGTTAGTGGAGGTTATTGAAATTTGATATGAGTTCCATATGATAGTCAGTCAGCAACAACTTAGAACTTTGTACATATGTACGTACGTCACTTCGAGTTGTCATATCACATTAGCACAAAAATACAATTGTCGATTTACACTTCACAGTGGTAGATGTAGTAAAAGTATAAGTAGTAATCGGAAACATTAGGGTTTGAATATAGTATTCAAGGAGTATAATTCAGTGAAATAAATTTGAAAAAAGAGACAAACAAGAAAGAGATATGAGGAATTTAAATGAATAGAATTTGGGAGAACACAACAAGTGGATGTACCTGTAGCATTGCAAATGATTTTGAGTTATGTGTTATTCAAGGTCTTTAACCATATAATAAATAGATATTTATCAGTAGTGAATTAATGGATTACTGAATACAATGTTCAATATTCAATAACTAAGTTGGAATAGTTTTAATGTAGCAGTAGTATTATTAACTTTTTTTCAACTACAGTCTAGTTCAATGTTAAGTACATAACTATACTTAGTGAATGAATTGAATAAAATAAACAGATAGATGACTTTTTTCTAAAATTGTAATAATGAACAGCTACTGATGATTATCTACTATATACAAAGTAAAACAAACATTACTATCGACATTAGACGATAATTACACAAAGTAGAGAAAAGATTGAATTTGGTTCTTTTTTTTTATTGTGAACCATTGGATTACGATTTAGTGGTCCTTACCAGCTATGAATTTTATCTTATGTGGGTTTGTTAATGAGTAGAATTGATCAGTAATTCTTAATCGGGGTGAAATAGTTACTCGGTAGTCACACTTTTGTTCCCCTAAAGTATTCAGTTGTAAGTTTGTAGAAAACATCAACTTGAAAGACTTTTTGCGGACACGTATATACCATAAATTTAACTGCTTATAGCCATGAACTGTAATAAAGAGTAACTTATATCTGGAATTAGAAAAAACTAATTACTTACACAAATGAACTTATACTTCACAAGAAAGTACAACAGAACAGATATGGACCCGATTTTAGCGGTGTCAATATAATATATCTGCTTACATTGATAGGAACAGTTAGTAGAGGAGATTCTGCGTTGTCTCATTATTACAACTAGAAAGAAAAAATAATACATGAGGGTTTCTTCTAAAGCATATTTTGCAGAATTGAATATTTTAAGGACTGTATAGAAATAGTTATCACAGACATTCCTCGTTGGAGAATTACAGTATTATATGAATACGTGCTTAATATATATATATATATAAAGTATTGAAGATAATTTTCATGAGGTACTGCTATTAGAAAAACAATGATTGGAAACCAAGAAATACTAAACAGATGTCCCGTTTCAGTATGAAACTCTTCAACAATGTACAAACATGACCTAAACTAAATCCGATCCTATGAATTTTACAACTGAAGTAAGAACAATAGTTTACAATCAGTGATTTTGAATCATAAAATCTGGATATCTGATATAAGGAGTCAATCAAACATTTCAACCATAGGCCAAATGATAGGTGATATATCTTAACAAGTACACACTAGTGGTTGAAGTATGACAAATTGATTATCCGACAGACACAGAGATATGTTATTCCTTGAAATTTAGCCTAATCATTTAAGGGACACGCATCTATAATATGACTTTGTGAACACTTGACCAGTTTTCTACATGGTTAACTGGTTGTTTAGCGTTTTTAAACGCTTACTGTCACTCTTCCTCTTTCTCCTGGTGATCGACTGGATCATGAAGATGTCAACATCTGAAGGGAACCACGGAATACCGTGGACAGCTAGGATGCAGTTGGATGACCGAGAATTCGAAGATGATCTGGCTCTTCTATCGCAAACACAACAACAAATGAGGAGAAGACAACCACTGTAGCAGCAGCCTCAGCAGCAATAGGTCTCAATATACACAGAGGGAAAAGCAAGATTCTCCAACACAACACAGCATGCAATAATCCAATTACAATTGACGGAGAAGATTTGGAAGGCGCAAATACCTTTACATATTTCGGCAGCATCATCGATGAACACGGTGGATCTGATGCAGATGTAAAAGTGCGGATCGGAAAAGCAAGAGCAGCATATTTACAACTGAAGAACATCTGCAACTCAAAACAACTCTCTGTCAACCAACACCAAAGTCAGAATTTTCAATACAAATGTCAAAACAGTTCTACTGTATGAGGCCGAAACCTGGAAAACTACGAAAGCCATCATTCACAAGATACAACTGTTTATTAACAGTTGTCTACGCAAAATACTTCGGATCCGTTGGCCAGACACTATTAGCAACAACCTTATTTATTTATTTATTTATTTGAACACATAAATATTGGTACAGGGGGGCACCAAATATATATGCGCCACACAAAACAATGATAATTTGAAGAGAAGGAGAAAAGAGAAAACAAAAAAAAGTAATGAACGTGGGGAATTATAAAAAAAAAGGGGAGAGAGAGAGAACAATGGTGGGGGAAACGGAAAGGTACAATCAGAAGAGATCTTTCAGTTAAGGAAGATACAACCACTTTTTATGAAGAAAGTAAGAGGTTACAGCACGATCGCCACTGGCTTCTATTCTTAGCCATATCTGATAACGTCTCTAGCCACTGCGTTACACCGTCTCTTGGACCCCAACCAGGGAGTCGTGAAGGACCAACAGAAGCTAGTCCTTTGCAGCTTTCTTTCATACCACGACACCATGTCATATACTGACCACCTCTCCGCTTTTTCCAACCAGTCCCAGAGTTGGCAAATAATGCACGACGTGGAATTCTCTGGGACGACATTCGTAGAACATGTCCAAGCCACCGAAGTCGGTGTTTCAAGATGGTGACACCAATTTCATTATCGTCTCTGTGACCGAACACTCGATGCCGAACCTCTGCATTACTAACATGGTGTTGCCACTGGATGCCAGCAATCCTTCGGAGACAACGATGATCGAACACAGAGAGTCGTCTAACATCCTCAACTCGGAGAGGCCAGGTTTCACAAGCATAGAGCAAAACTGCTCTCACCGTCGCGTTGTAGATCCGACCTTTTACAGACAGACTAACATCACGAAGGCGCCAAAGATGGCCCAGATTCGCATAAGCCGCTCTGGCTTTCACTATACCAGCATTGATCTCATCACTCACGCCACCACCAGCACTTATGCAGCTACCTAGATACACGAACTTCTCGACTACTTCAATCTGCTCACCATCCAGAGTGAGTACAGGATTAGAATCCTGCCAGTCTTGTAGAAGTACTGTGCACTTTGAAGGTGCAAAGCACATACCATACCTACGGACATTGATTGCCAACTGATTAAGTGCGGATTGCATAGCTTGGGCATTCTCGCACAGTAAGACAATATCATCCGCATACTCAAGGTCGAGAAGTCTTTCTCCAGGCAACAGATCCACACCACCATTACTTACATCCGT